TAGCCGCACTGTAATTCCCTGAATTAATAAACTTATTAGTACTGCATAGGACTTATCCCTCAAAACCTTACAAACTGGCAGCACATACCTTGCATTCATCATCCAAATTTGTAAGCGGCGACCTCCAAACCAAAATCCAAATTAATCAGAAGTTTACCTATAGGTATCTTATAAAATATAATAAGAATAACCCCTAAGTATGTAATTAATTTCCTTGATGCGAAAGTTTCACGCCACATTTTCGTTCCACGACTAACCGCCTGGGGAGAACCAAGTCCTGATATCCGGGCAGGGCGACCCAGACTGCAGTAATGCATCACATGAAACCAGTAAGTGGAGACTTAGCTCGCTCACTAGGATCTAATTCTCTCAGCTATTCACGAGATTGCAATGCAGGGTACTTCGTTGTGGAAAAGGAATCAGAGGCAAAATATTCATAAACTCAGCGAATGACTAATGAAGGAGATGTATAGTAAAAGGTATAAAATTTAGATCGCCTTCTCCCTCAAAAAAACATAAGGAATTTTTTAATATTAATATATACTAAAAGTTTGACCAAGAGTTATGGCAGGACAAAGAATATTTTTGATATACTAAAATTTATTTATTGAAATTAGAGGACAAGTCATATATATAGATATATATAATCATATACAGCGAAATACGTAGGTTGTCAATAAAGATATGCAAAATATAGAAGTGAAAGGCTATCATGAGAAAATAGAAACCTTAATGGCTTCATAATAATTAGAAAAAGATTGCTTACAAACGCAAATGCCAAATAAGAAAAAAAAGAGTAAGATAGCATTGGTTGAAACAAAAAAAAACAAATATTACTTTGCAAGCAATTACCTGGATCACTGCCCAGGGGTTGGGCATCTATTGACGAGCCGGTTCTAGGACAGCGACGCACCAAGCGGACATTGGCCGGAATCTCCATACAGCCGATGCATGGCTCTAGCTCCTGGTTACCATTAAGACAATGAAAACAAATTGAAATAGAAAGAAATAAGTACAAAAAGAAAGGGTTTTACAAGTTTATATAGAAGCTTATGAGATGAAGTAAAAGTAGTTTAATACACTCAAGTGACAATGATAGGTCTCAAATCGAGCATCAACTATTGTTTTAGGCTTTTTAAATCGTCAATTAAATAATCAGATCCAACTAGTGTATATTCAAATAAAAGAGAAGATATGAAAGTTGCACATTTACGGCAAAACTAAGGATCCCCATATCACTTATACTAAGCTGACATCGTAAGTT